GATTTTGCTCTTAAGAATACTTGTACCCCTGCATGTTATGGTATCCAAGGAACTCATCCAGAAGTTTCTTGAATGATTCCACACTCTTAGCTGAAATCACTTCCTGCGGCAGAGAGTTCCAGACCCTAGCCGCTCTAACTGTGACCCTGCGCCCCGTGTGTAGAAATTCTTTTTCTACCAATTTGTGGTGGTGCCCTCTGGTCTTTGTTACGGAGCTAACCATAAACAGTTTGTTAATAATGTTGCTGTCCCCGTTGAACAGTTTATACAAGAAAATCATGCCCCCCCTTAATCTCCTAACCTCCAAAGAGAACATATTTAATTTTAACAGCCTTGTTTCATAGTTCAGGTCTTCGAACCCCTTAATGAGTTTGGTTGCCCTCCGTTGGACTTTTTACAGCTCAATTACATCTTTTCTTAGTATTGGTGACCAAAACTGGACCGCATACTCCAGATGTAGCCGAACCAGTGATCTGTAAAGTGGCAAAATTATAGACTTGTCCCTGCAATACATTCCCTTCTTAATGCAAGACAGGACTCTGCTTGCTTTGTTTACAGCAGTCTGGCACTACGAGCTGTTCTTCAATCTCCGGTCTATAATGACCCCCAAATCCTTCTCCGTTTCCGACTTCCCTAGTGGCACACCCAGTGGCGTAACTACCACCATAGCGACCCACGCGGTCGCTATGGGGCGCGGGGCAGAGGGGGGCCCGGGGCTCAGCAGTGTAGGTGGAGGACGAGACCCGGCTGCTGTGGAGGAGACTGGGGCCCCCGGCCATGGAGTAGGAAGCCGGGGCCCGGAGGAGGATGCCGGGGCCCGGAAGAGGATACCGGGGATCAGCAGTGAAGTGGAGGATGCCGGAGATCGGCGGCATTGGTGGAAGTGGAAGCCGGGGATCGTCAGTGAGAAGGAAGAGGCTGGGGCTCGGCGGCGGCTGACAGGTAGGAACGGCTAGGCTGCTTTGCTGTTTTTTATGTGAAATGTTCCATGAGGATGGTTAGGATGGCGGGGAGGTGAGGATGGTGAGAATGGTAAAGATAGTGAGGAGATGAGGACGGTCAGGATGGTGAGGAGATGAGGACGGTCAGGATGGTGAGGAGATGAGGACGGTCAGGATGGTGAGGAGATGAGGA